GACTGCATGCCTATAGTGTTTTCATGCTCTTCTGTTTCTTGCAATTCCTGGAAATTGGTCTTCAGAACTTGAAACTGAACAATTTCATTTTTGGTAATAACACTAAAATGAATAAAATCATAGCTGGTATTGATTAGAGGCATGTCAAGTTGCCTCTCTCTTTTAACATTGGCCACTGGCAATTTTTGTCTGGATTCATTATTAGGCCCATTACTTCATTACAGTGCAAAACGATGACATTCCAAATCTTAATTTATTAGATTAATAACTTTGAAACAGAACAACTACCTTTCATCATCTTTGGTTACCTGGTGGTTTAAACATGTAAGTTTAATGTAAGTGAGCTGAATTTCCCTTTACTTTTTTTTTTTTGTACTAGCGAGTGAACCTAGGGTACTTTACCACTGAGCTACATCCCTAGTCATTTTTATTTTGAGATAGAGTCTCACTAAATTGCCGAGTCTGGCCTTGAATTTATAATCCTCCTGTCTTAGCCTCCCATGTTGCTAAGATTATAGGTATGTACCCAGCCCATATATTCTGTTCTTGAAAAAGGTTTATCTGAGAGCTTTAGGTCATAAGGGATGCCTTTATATTCCCTTTGAAGTATTTAGTTATAGCTTATCCTACAATCAGGATGAAATTCCACATTGTGGTTCAATGAAAATAGATTTACAATTAAGTGGAAATAAAGAACTTAGTACTAATAGCTTTGAAGAGGACTGCATTGAGAAAAAATTCAAATGTTCAACAAGCAGCTTTCCAATGTTCAGATACATTTGACAAAAAGCTCATAAAATATTAAACTTCTGGGAAGGTGATCAACTAAATAATTTATAAAAACAAAGGTTCAAGTCAGTGCAAGTACTATTATAGCAAATGCCTTGTCTTTATTTATGTTTAAGGAAATGCTGCAGGGGTGTAGTAATTTTGGTATCAGACAGAAAGGATTGAATTCTTCTTCCCTTATTATGGTTAACTTGAGCAAGTTACTCTACATATCACATGTATATGATAGGGAATCTGAAATATCTGTGAATATTCTAAAACAGTGTACATTTATAAATGTTAGAGCACTCACATGCATACATATAGGAAAAGTCTCTTTGACTGGAGATAGTAATAAGTTATAAATTGCCACAAATTGTTAATTATGAAACAGTAAAAATTGCTGTATGAAGAACATGCCATATATGCCATGACTCTCAGGGCAGTTTAGTAGATGGTTTAGGCTAATGTACCTTTTACTCCTTACTGATGGAACTGCTTGTGAGATAGTTTAGGGAGAAAGAATTGGGCAAATGCCATAGTGAAACTTGCTTTTGGTTCCAGTAAGAATATAATAGAAGACTGAGCACCAGTGAGACAAACACACTCTAAATGACCTAAAAATAACTGTAACATACATAGACACTTCCTTTCCATTGCTGTTAAACTTAGCCTTCTGCCTCAACCTGCCCTGCTTTTTTCCCCCCTTCACCCAGACTGAGTCAGTATTACCCCCCCCCCCCCCCCCCAGCTTGGCTCCCTGCCTTACTGAATCCCTACTATCCCATAGTTGTTATATCTTTTGTGACAGTGCCAACACACAGTTGTTAATTTGTGGGGCATCAAAATGATTTCCAAGTCATTGAAAAACAAGTATAAACACAGGAAGATGTATACTTATCCCCTAATTTTCATAGTAATCTGATGATTAGAAAGATAAGAAAATTGATATGTGAGAGAACAGGGCATAAATTGCTAAAATGAAAGATCATGAAAGTATAGCTATGTTCATATTTTGTTACTTTCTGAATTATGTATAATGTAAGTTCTGTGGGTACTATTTCCTTAGAATTATACTTTCACAAACTTGTTATTGAAATTAATGCACACATAGAAAAGTGGGATTTATATTTTTAAAATTAGTATCCATGACCTCAAGTGCCTTGTTAATTTGTTGTGACTCAAAATGTTAAAATTGTGAATTCATGTGATAGAACATTCTCAATTTTAAAGTAATATTGAGTTTAGGTGTGGTGTGTTGCATCAGACTTGGTTTTGAGTAATACCTAGAAAAATGCATAGTATATTATATTGACTAATGTTTTATAACTCCTGAACAAGTTGAATTAAGGATGACGTTTAACTTAGACCTATTTATATATGTAAATATACATATGCAGCTTATGATGTTTTTAAAAACTCTATTAACTACAAAGAATGAAAAGATTTTGCAACAGAGTTGGAATGGAAACAATTTCTGAGATAGAGATCAAATTGTGTTTATAGACACCCTTACTGGCAGCTTTGTTATCAGTCATTTCCTGTGGGAATATTTTACTGGGAAACAATTTTATGCTTTGAGTATTCATTAAATAGCCTTAGGTCCATGGAATAAAAATATTGTAAGAATAATAAATATGAATGTATGCACATTACAGTGTAACATTTCCTAGTATTTTCCTAGATAAGAATTAAGATTATTTAACAAACTGTGTTTCTTATCCATTACTAATTTTTAAAACAACACCAATGAAGTATGGTCTAGTGGAGAGTTAAGCAATAGACTGGAAATTGAAGTCGTTTGTTTTCTTTAAATTAAAATTGATAGTAATTTGAAAATATTTATTCATCACAGACGGTAGGGCTGCAGATGCAGTTCAGTGTTTGCCTATCAAGCTTGAGGCCCTGGGTATGATCCCCAGCACCACAGGAAAAACAAAACTTCTTTACAGTATTTAAGTACTAAGTAATTATTAAGTATTAAGTAATACAGTATTTAAGATGTTGTAGTTTGTGGAGAATACACTGGTCAACTATAGTCTCTGCCCTTAGGGAATTTATGGATTTTCTTTTAAGGGAGGTAGGAAATGCACACAAATTATATAAAACAACAAACACATACCTTTCCTCCCCTGCTATAAATATACCAGAGGGTTGTGGTGCTGGGTAGGAATAAAACACTATTGGAGTTTGGAAGAACTTGAGATCATGTCCATCTGGGAGATGGACAAAGATGAGGTCAAAGATGACCTCATAGTGAAGGAAACTGAATGTAAAGGATCAGTAAGATTTTTGCAAATACAGATGCAGATAAAATTATTCCAGATGACAGGCAGACTTGGTATTAAAGGTAGTATAAATCACAGCAAATTTAGAGAGTAGAGCCTCTGATGCAAACAATAACACAACTTACACAGGGAAATATAGTTATGAAGTAAGGTAAATTAGGGCCAAGTTATTTTCTTTCACTCAGTAACATTAGCATTTATTTATTCTTGAGTACCTACTAAGTGCAGGTACTGTGCAAGGTGTTAGGCACATTTATGAGTAGTTTAGACAAGAGCCCTTTCCAATACATAAAAATTAAAAGGTCTGAAATCTGATTTGGTGGTGACTGATTTTTCTATCACTGATGGATCAATTAATTAATATGTGGCAACAAGAACTACTTTAGTTTAATAGTGTTATACTGATCATGGGATTTGATATTTGGGGGAGTTGGTATTTCCAAATTACATTGTTTCTCGATTTCACTTCAATTGTGTCTCAGCCCGACATATGAATTAAAATAAAGGTAATTAAAAAAATAATTGAAAGCTGCAAACTTGTATTTTTAATTTGGTAGGCTTAGAGGCGGGCTGATGGGGGACACCATTAAATATGTGGGTCCATTTTGCAAGTTTTGATTATCTAATAATTAATGCTGCAGCATGCACTAATTAAAAAAAAAATAAAAGGAAGACTTAAGAAATCTGTGGTGATTTTTTGGACAATTTTTTTTTTTTTTAAATACTGGGGATTAAATCCAGCGGTGCTCTACCACTGAGCCACATCTTGAGACAGGATTTTGTTAAACTGCTTATGGCTTAGCTAAGTTGCTGAGGTTGGCCTAGAATTTGCGATCCTTCTGCCAAATTCCCAAGTTGCTATGATTACAAGTGTGCACCAACGTGTCCGGAAACAAAAGGAATTATTGAAAAGGAATCGCTGCAAATTTCCTTTCAACATCAAGACCTCTGTGCGGTTAACGTGATAGATCATTTCTAGAACACATTGCACTAAGTGAGATACACCTGCACTCATACTTTGTCCGTCAAAACAATCTTTTTGTTTTCTCTCAAGCTAGGACTTGCAGTATCTAAGACACTCCTCAAGCAGTGGTGGCAATGGGGAGGGGCTGGTGAAGGTGGCGGGGTAGCAGCTGGGAGAGCACTTTCCCTTTCTTTGGTTAAAACTTTGCAGCTGCCAAGCCCAGATTCACCTTCCGGCTGGAACTTTTTTACCCCAACCTCCACTCACAGCTCCCCAAGCGTCGCGTGCGCTAACTCCCGCTTCCCTCCGCGGTCTTTAGCTCAACCCCAACCCACCGCCCTCCGCGCGCCCCCGGAATCTACCTGCCGCGCGCCCACCTCGGGAACGCAGTTCTGCGCCCCGGGCCCGCGCCCCATTGCGGCCAGTCCCTCCGGGGCATGCGCGCTGCGGCGCTACCGCCCTCCCCCACGCCTTCCCGCGGCAGAGTTATGCCAAGTATGTGAGGAGCCGGCAAGGGCCAGCGCCGGTCATGGGGAACTGCCGCTGCCGCCGCCTCCGTGAGCGCTACTTTCTCCACGACGGGGCTCTGACCTCTCTCCGCGACCCGGGCGAGCCCAGTTGCTGAGGAGAAGGGGATGGCGGACCCTCTGAGGAGGACTCTGTCCAAACTCCGGGAGAGGAGGGGTCCCCGCAGCGCCGGGGGGCTCGGATTCCGGGCGGCCGCTGCAGCTGCGGTGGCGGCCTCCTCCGCAACCCTAGGAGACACCTGGTGTGCCCAGGACTGCCCCCCATGCGAGCACGCCGGCGCAGCTGGGCCAAGCTGGACGCAGCCCCCGCCGTCACCTGAGGCGCGCGGCGCTAGAGGGTCCTCGGCGGGGTCCGGGGCGCTCGCCCCTCGGCCGCGCAGCGGGCAGGCGGTCCCTCTCCCGGGTCGCGGGCTAGCTCGCGCCACTCTGCACGCCGCGCTGAGCTTCGAAGGCAGTGGAGAGGAGGAGGAGGATGACGACGCCGACTACAACGCCGACTACTACGAGAACCTGCCCGGCGGCTCGCAATCCGTGGCCGCGCCAGCGCCTGAGGGGGCGGAGGCGGAGCTGCGGCCCCCGCCTCCCCCTGCGGCGGGCTCCTCCTCGGGGGCGGAGGGCGGCAGCCTGGAGACGGGCAGGCTGCAAACCCAGTTGCGAGAGGCCTATTATCTGCTGATCCAGGCCATGCACGACCTACCCCCTGACTCAGGCACGCGGCGGGGCGGCGGGGGGTTGGCGGATCGCGGTTGCCTCGCGGGAGCCGGGGCTCCTGGCCAGCTACCTTTCCCCCGCGGCGCTGAGGACTGCAGAGCCTGCCCCGGAGATTGGGAGTTGGGAGGCGGCGACTGCCCTCAGCAGCAGGTGTCCCCGCCCTGGTCGCCTCCGAGGGAGCCTGAGGGAGTCCGGCCTCGGACTCCTCGAATGAGGCTGTCCTGCAGCAGAAGCCTTGAGAGCCTCCCGGTGGGCTCCAAGCCTCTTCCTTTACAGCGGTGGCCGAGCGACAGCTGGATCAGGTGCGGCGAGCGCGGGGACCCAGACGAGTCCCCGCCACGTGGAGGCGGGATGGAAGGCTGGAGCGGGGGCAGCGCCCGGGCCGCAGCATCTGCTGGCCTCTTGTCTCCGGGCTCCAAGGACCTCGGCAGCTCCTCGAGAAGTCCTTTCAGGCATCCTGCGGGGCCCTCTGTGATCCGCAGTGGTCAAGAAGACCGCCAGGAGGGCTCCCCCACCCTGAAGCCGTCCACAGTCACAGTCAAGAAGCTGCAGAAGTGGATGTACAAAGGTCGCCTGCTGTCCCTGGGAATGAAGGGTCGCGTTCGTGGGACACCTTCTAAAGTCCCGGTGGCGCAGGCTACTTCTCCTAACCTGGGCACTTTGAAAGTGCGTGAGAACCCCATCCTCTCGGTGCCTCCCGATCAAAGAATTACATTGACAGGTAGGATACTTTGCAGTCTGTTTGCTAGCACCGCAAGCCTTAGTGTTTACCCACCGCGCCTGTCTTTAGAGCCAAGAATAAAGTGTGTTTTTGCAGACAGATACGTGACTGTGCTAAAATAAGTGTCATAGAAGTGGCAATTTAAAGCGATTTCGAGGTTATTTAGTGTGATGTATTCACATTCACTGTTTTGCTTTCTTTTTTTTTTTTTTTAGACAGTGGCATGCAGATTTTTTTTTTTTTTTTAATTTCTTCTCCTAAAACTGGTGCGCCTACTCCCTTAGTACAAGGAGTAAAGGTTAAGTTCGCCACACGCTTTTCGTAGGTTGAGAGAGGGGCGGCGCTGCCTTGATTTTTTTCTCTGTAGCTCCAGGCAAATCCGGAGACTTTTGTGGAGTTTGTGAATTTGAATTTGATCCAAGGTAGATTTTACAGGCTTCATAAACTGTCATTTTACTCATTACTCCCTTTTTTCTTCTCTCTCAGACGCTTACACCAGACACACACACAACCACAACCAAAACAAACTAAAGGTATGAGTAAAGTTTCTTTTTAGTCAGGTAGCGTTTCACATCATCTTCACACCAACAAACTCCAACGAGGTGAGTGATGTTTTTATTGTGGAAAATTGGAAAATCAAGGATAGTGGTATTGTAATCAAAAGAAAAATGTCCATAAGGTACTTTAAAAAAATTTCAGGCACTTAAAATTATTTGTAAACTTATAAACTATTCATATTAGAAGTAAATTAGTTTTTTGAAATGTATATTTGTTCTTATATCATTATGCTCCTTATTTTGAATGTGCATGGTTTTCAGTTATCTCTGGAGGTTTAGGTTATCAATTCTAGGAATCTCTTAATTATGTTGTAAATAACAAATATTCTTTCTGAAACAGAACAAAACAACATGGCTTTTTGAACTACATTTAAAATATAAAAATATCAGTGAACATAAAGACCTACGTGTTAGTAATATTTTTAAAAACATTAAATATTGAAATGTAAAATGTAGTCTTAGTATTTGTGGTAAGAATTACAAGTGCCCAGGATTGGGTTAATACACATTAACCATTGTACAGACAACAATGAGAAGAAATAAAAATTTAACAACTTCTAATCAACCAATGATGATAAATCAAATGATTCATTTAAATTATATGCAAAGTTAAATGTTTTTTGGATCTTTAAGTCTAATGCCTGTCAAACTTTATCCTCAAGTTTAAATATTCTGTTTCACTTGAATAAAAGAAATAGTAGAGTGTCTTTGTGAAGACAGGTTTACTTTATACTACATTCACATTAAAATGTGCATTTCCAGGAATAAAATATTTGTAATCACTTATTATACTTTATTACTACATTAGTTTTACCTCCTTTGATCTTGGTTCATTAACTCTTTGTATGATAGTTAAATTTCAGCCATAATCAGAAACCTGTATCTTTAGTCAAATGCTTTTACCTTTTTGTTGCAGAGGTAAAATATTTACCACCTGTTGGCTTTTAATGCCTTCACTAATAAAGGAGTTAACAAATGAAAATATTTCCTTTAAGAATGAATGCAGTGAATTTTTTATTAAGACTGTAATTATGAAAATGCTAACAACTTTAAAAGAAATTAAAATGAAATATTAGAATTTCTTTGTGATAGTATTTTATTTTATAAGAACTCTAAGCAAAAGCTACCATAATCTTTGATTTAAACAACTTCCTTTCACATCATGAATTCATCTTTTAGAAAACATGAAAATAATTTGTGTAGTGTTTATTTATCTAATATAGATTTGGAGAGTATTTGTAAAAAAAAAATTTTTTTAATGAAGGTTAGTTGGTTTTACTATAGCCATTCTGGGTAGTTTATATGATTCTTATATAAATTTTAAACCTTTCCACCCCAAAATATGGAGATTTGACAATTATTACTTAAGAACAACAAAAGGAACATAAAGGCTAAGTAGTTTTTCTGAGGTGTCTCTCCTGGCATATGGAATCAGACTCTTATGTGAATTAAACCTCAGGTCTCATGACTAAATAACCCCTATTTATGTAAGGTAAAAAAGACTCCAGAATTCTTTAGAGGTTTGTTGTATTACCATGAAGTTGCTTGAATTGAGGAGATGAATGGAATTTCGACAAGGTGTAGAGGGATAAATAACTTCTTCAAAATTGCAAAGATGGGGGAATCCTAGAATAGGTTTTAAGACTGCTTGAAAAATTAATTACTATATTCATTTTAAACCTTTACCTTCAAATATTTGCTTACTTCAAATTGATATTGCTTAGATTCTGTTTTGAATCATGTTTTTGAATTGATGATGTAGTTCAGTGGTAGAGCATGTGCTTAGTATGCTCAGTCCTAGGTTCCATCCCCAGTCTCACCACAAGGGATAAAAAAAAAAAAATCATGTTTTTAAAAAAACAATTTGGACAGTCCAGATGAGGGAGTACATTCTTGGTTATATAAAAGATGTTAAGTATCTAAAACATTTGTATCATATTTTTTATGTAATATTACTCATGAGGATATTTTTCTCCCAAAATAAATATATTTGGGATTTATAACAGTATATAATGGGTTAGAGATATCTAATCTATTAGTTATTTTGAAATTTTTGAGACCATATGACAAATAGATGTCAAAAGTGATTTTCTATTTTCATTTCTGTCTCCTACAAAGAACCATTAAAACTTTTGATGGTATAATAATGCCAATGATTTGATGCAGTTAAGTATGTTGTGTTCACAGATTGGCCAATTTGTTCTTAATTGAGATGATTATTTAAGAAATCTAAAGTCATTACACATAGTAAATATTGTCAAGTTTCTGCAAGCCTTAAAATTATGAAGGAATCTTAATTTATTTGCTAACAGTTCTTTATTAATATAAACATTTATAAATAAGTTTTGATTAGCATATAGTTCACAGAAATATATTCAGAAGCATCAGGTTGAGTTTTTTCAACTCTTTTTTTCTTTTAAAAATGATTAGCATACTTTGACTCCACTTTTCCTGCTATATAATCTCTGAAAGACATATATTATTTGACAATCTTCTACCTTTAAATCTCTATGTGAGTCTGCCATTGTGACTCTAGAGGCAAGTTGCCTTTTTTTGGAAGTGTGCCATGGAACGTTGGAGTTGCTGGTGGCTGGAAAACTTTTAGAATTACAAATTCAGCAGAAAGTAGTGTTGTGTTGATTTGAAAATACTGTTTCTAGATCCATGATTCCCAAGAGATGCTGGTTTATTTTTTGAGAACCACCAAAGCTATTTTCTAGATTCTTGGTGTTTAAAGTATGGTTTACGATTTGAGAGCAGTGCTTTTCAAACTTAAAGTGCATATGGATTCCCTAAATCTTGTTAAAATGCTGATTTGAATAAGTGTGGTCTGGGACTTGATACTTCACATTTTAACAAAGTTCCAGTATAGGTAGATGATGCTGTTAGGCAGGCCACACTTTTTTAAAAAAATATTTTTTAGTTGTAGATGGACACAATGTCTTTATTTATTTTTATATGGTGCTGATGATTGAACCTGGTGCCTCACACGTGCGCATCCCCCAGATCACACTTTTTATTAGTGAGATTCTAGAGTTTTCATGTCCTCCAAAGTTTTTATTTTTATTTTTTAGTACTGGAGATTGAACCCAGGGGCACCTGACTACTGAGCCACAATCCCAGTTCTATCTTTTTGTATTTTATTTAGAGACAGAGTCTTACTGAGTTGCTTAGTGTCTCGTTTTTCCTGAGGCTGGCTTTGAACTCACAATCCTGCCTGCCTCAGCCTCCCCAGCTGCTAGGATTACAGGAGTGCACCACTGCTCCTAGCCTCCGCAAAGTTTTGAAAAAGCACTCTACCTTATTCTAGTACTTCATACTTAAACCAACCTCTTTAGACTAAAGCACTTGAGTTCTTTCTGCTTCAGTCTTAACACTGCTTACAGTATGTGATGAGTTTGCAGTTCCCTTCATATTGCTCTCATTTTGCATCAATAAATATTAGATTTTGGAATCTGCAAGAGAGGAGGCCGTATAGTAGAGGGTTAACATAATAGAGATTCTGAGTTTCTGGTCAGACTCTGCCCCTTTTACAGTCTTGTGACCTTGGGCAAGTTATTCAATTTTCTGTGGCCTCAGTCTTTATGTTGAGGGGAAGAATAAAGATAATCCATTTGGTATTTCCCCTGGCATTTAGCTGTTATTATCCAGAGGAAGGCAAGCAGGGTTTGTGGAATATTGTTTTGCACTAGATCATTAGGATTCTGGATGGAGAGTGAGAATGGAAGTTTAGGAGGACTGCCTTGAGCATTGGGAATTGAGCTAGATTATCCATTTTAGGGGTACTTATTTATTCTGCTCATTTTTTCTTTTGTGCATCTTTTTCTTGCTTCTCTGGCTTTTCTCAGTTACTTTAGTGAAACTAAAAACAGTCTCACAGTTTTCTTCTCTATTTTCTTGTCTCAAAAGCAAGCAACACAGCTTGCTTAAAGGTTTTTATTGCAAGTTACAAGGGACGAAAAAGAAAAAGTGCTCCAGTCCTTTTCATTTTACGCCTTACCTTCTTTTAGATTTATCTTGGAAGAGAGAGAATTTTAGGCATAGATTCAAATATCTGATACAATGTTCATAAGAATACTTTTATTTAGAATTTTTAAAGAAAAAGAAAAACATTTTCCTTACTGTTTATGTAGTAGAAATTTTAAAATGATGAAAAGATGTCTGTAGATGCTGTACATTTATAATAAGAGTTGAAATACATAATTTCTTAGTTTACTGCTGCTTTTGGACTGGGGCACTACTAAAATCTTCAAGTTGTCTAGATTTATTATGAAATAATGACTGAGAAAAGAAAATCGCCTCATAGTTTACTATGTAGAATATTTTTCTTAATGAAAATCTGCAGAAATTACAATTTCTGCATTTTTGTACAGATTTTAAAAATAAATGGCTCTAATTAGAATATGAATATGGTACTGTAACAGAGCTGAAAGAATAAGGACTTTTTTGCCTTGTGACTTACATACTTATTTTAAAATTTTTACTCGTGTATTACTATATATCTGAAAGCGTATGTGTGTGAAAGCATATATATTTGTATATCTTTATATAGAAGCAAAAGATAACTCTTAAATTTATGCTATTAAACATTAATTTTAGCATTAAAAAGGAAGGGAGGATTGCAGATAGCTTTCATTTATGTAAATTTGTATTCACAGAATTAACATAGGCATCCATTTTATTAATTGAAATAAAGATGAAGTTTTTATATAATTTATAAGTAATTATCTAAGTAAGGTTTACTGCCTTGAATAACATGTTACTTAATTCATTTTAATAATTAAATACATTTGGCTTTTACCATAAACCATAATAATATAGCTATTTATAAATTTAAACTTTAGCATTATATATTTTGAAATATCACAATGGCAGTCAGACTGTATGATTTCAAGCTTTTGTAGTTTGAAGCTTCATTAAAGATAGTTATAGTATGTCTCACAATGTAATTATTATTATTTATTTATTTATTTTTGTGGTACTGGGGTTTGAACCCAGGGGTATTCTACCACTGAGGAGATATAGCACCATCTCTCTCCTTTTTTTTTTTTTTTTTGAGAGAGAGAAAGGGGGAGAGAGAGAGAGAGAGAGAGAGAGAGAGAGAGAGAGAGAATTTTATATTTATTTATTTATTTATTTTAGTTTTCGGTGGACACAACATCTTTGTTTGTATGTGGTGCTGAGGATCGAACCCGGGCCGCACGCATGCCAGGCAAGCGCGCTACCGCTTGAGCCACATCCCCAACCCTAGCACCATCTCTTTATATTTTTTATTGTGAGACAGGATCTCATTAAGTTTCTGAGGCTGACTTTGAACTTGCAATCATACTGTCTCAGCCTCCTGAGTCACTGTCATATACCACCATGTCTGGCTTATAATTATTACTTTTAGTATTATACTCCAGTTAAATACTTGTATCAATAGAAGTATCACCTTGCTTGAATATGGGAGGCTAGTAGCTTTATTTCCTATTGCAGTTCTTTGAAGTGTAGTACAAGTAGACATGTTTAAGGATCATTCACAGTGTATAATACATCAAAAAACTCTGCTGTGACTCAAAGTAATGTATCTTGTTCTATAAAATTTTCAGGGCTGAAGAGCTGTCTGAGAATAAGATAAAATAAACTGTTGCTTATTTTTAGTCAGTGAGTTATATAATTTTATAGCTTTTGCTTCAAATTTATAATTAATGTCAAAACTATATATATACATTTACTTATAAATAATGTCCTGTATAGGTCTGAAAGCTATTGAATAATAGCTTGAGATTTAGGCTTAAATGTAAAATTGATCTAGATTTCAGTACACTTGGCAAAAGCATGTAATAACTGAGAATCCAGAAGCTTAAGTGATTCCTGAGCATGTGTTTGATTTTTAGTTGTTAAGTATAAAGTGTAAAGGAAATAGAACCAAAGAAAGACTCCAGAAAAATCTTCACCTTTTCATTAATTAAATTAAATAATCAGTTCATGATGTTCGTTGAGTGTTTGTTATGTTTGCTTATTCAATCCTGGGGGATGGAGATGGGTATCCCTTAGTGGTAGCAGCCCAGGTATACTTCTATGAAGTTTAAAGTCAGAGTTTCAGTACTGCCCCTTCCTTTTACCAACTTGGTGGTTTTGACTGTTTCCCCCCCCCCCCTATTATTTTATAGATTTCCAAATATTTATCAGCAGCCATTTTTGTTGTTGTTGTTGTTGTTACTGGGGATTGAACCTAGGGGCACTTAACCACTAAGCCACATCCCCAGCCCTTTTTATATTTTATTTTGAGATAGGGTCTCACCAAGTTGCTTAGCACCTCAATAAATTTCTGAGGCTGGCTTTGAACTTGCAATCCTCCTGTCTCTATCAGCAGCCATTTTGTATTGTAAATGTGATGCTATCCCATGTTGAGAGAGACCTGCTTCCCTGTTCTTAATGGGTAGCATGGTATAGAGAAAGGGGTAAACATGTGGGTTTTAGGGTTAGGTTTAATTTTGAATACTAGGGACTTGACCATATTCCTCATATTTTTCAATGATATAATAATTATACTTATTAGATTGTTGTAGAGGTAAAATGAGGTTAGGGACTTCCTTATTGCTTTATTTCTAGAACATAATAGTTACTTACTTGATGAGTGAGTAAATTGCAGACATAGTAGGAGTTCATGGAGCTTCTTTCCCTTCTGTAACTAATTGAACTTGAAACCCAATTAGTGTTTAAGATTGTTATGTTTTAATTAATCTGATTGGTTAGGTAGATGTTTAGGATTTTAAAAAAGACAAGGGCTTTTTTTTGCATTATTAAAGATTTTTCTTTCAGTTGAAAGGTTACTTAACATCTTGTTATGTGTGAAACTAATTTTGTTATTAAGATTCTCATAGCTTAATGTGCTTATCACTGTTATTACATCTTTTAAAAAAAATTTTTTTTTAGTTGTAAATGGACACAATACCTTTATTTTATTTGTTTTTATTTTCATGTGGTGCCAGGGATGGAACCCAGTGCCTCATGCATGATAGCAAGTGCTCTACCATTGAGCCACAACCCTGGCCCCCCCACATCATTTTTTATTTGTGGTAACAGTAAGATGAATCAACCATGTACACAACCAGAATAGCATAAGGCCATAATTCCATAATTTAAAAACCTAACATGGTCTTAGATTTATACAAATGTGGTTTTTATTACATATGTGTAGTGAATTATTATTATTATTATTATATTTAGATTATTCACTATCAGTAAAGGGTCAGTGAAGTTGCTTCACACACCTCTTTGGAGGCACAAAATTTTCCTTTTTAGATGAAAGTAGTGTTATGTATATTTTTAGGGTATTATCACATTGTATTAACCTGTATATCATCTTGAGTATTTGAGTAGACTATAAATTTCTTATGGGCAGGGATTATTTTGTTCATTATTTATCTGCTGCCTAAATTTGCGTCTGGCCAGTAATAATAATAGCTGTTGTGCTTACTGTGAGACAGCATGGTTGGTTCTAATCAGCCTCTTTAAGAGATCTTAATTTCAATTTTTGCTCCAGCTATATAGAACTCAAACTTTGCATAAGATACTACTGAGCTGTATGGTTAGGGAACCAATGTTATGTTGAAATTTTAATAGGTAAGGTATACTTTTTTGTTAGGTTAGTGAAAGTAAATCTTTGTGTGAAAAGTTAGGAATATTACTTATTCTTTCTAATGACTTTGGTCTAGTAATAGTGAGTTGGAAATTATTCAAATATTGATTAGTCATACTGTGTACAAAGCATTCTATATAAGCTTTTTATAAAATTTGTTTTGCTTAGGGTAAGGCTTTGTTAATCCTGTAGTTTTTTAATAAAAGCAGTATCAGAATTTGCATATTCTGTTTCCTAGAATTTTATGACACCTATACTAGCAGTCTGATTTCTAGATAATGGCAACCATGTTTAAGTGGAAAATCCAAAATTTTTCTGGTTTGATTTTGTTTTTTTTGTGATTAATATTACTTTTCTACTTTAAAAAAATTTTAACTACTGATTTGAAGTGACATATTTCCTGGTATATTAGGCATTATATTCTATCTTTTTTTCTTCTTTGAAACAGATTTATTTGAAAATGTCTATGGGTCTTCAATGAAGAGAAGAGAATCTGAAGATCTGAAGGATAATATTGAATTCAGAGGTCATAAGCCACTTAACAGTATCACTGTTTCAAAAAAACGAAATTGGTTATATCAAAGTCCTCTGAGATCTCTTAATCTGGAAGAAGAAAATAGGAAATGCCAAGATAGGAGTCATTTATCTATCTCACCTGTATCTCTTCCTAAACATCAGCTATCACATCCTTTCCTCAAATCATCTGAAGAATACTGTACATATATGGTGTGTAATGCTACAAACTCATCATTATCAAGAAACTGCTCTTCAGATTTTAATGAGGAAAATGATGCAGATGATGAAGGAGAAATATGGTACAATCCCATTCCTGAGGATGATGACCTTGGGGTATCAAGTGCCTTGAGTTTCCATGAGCCAAACCCTGCTCTTCTGAAGTTTCCTGCTGTCAGTTTGAGCATATTGTCTAGGAGTGACCTTACAAAAGCAGAGCAGCCTACTGAAGATCTGTTGTGCTCTTCTGAACACAAAGGTGATACTCAGACCACTCACTCAAATGAAGTGAATCCTATAGATTCCATCCATTCCACAGAATGTATGCAGCAGTACACGCAAAGGCTAGGACACAAGATACAAGAAGGTTTAATGGTGGAGGATAGTCCGATATTGAAATCTCCTTTTGCAGGTAAAGATGATCATAGATCTGCCTTTTCTTTCTTCTTTTTCAATTCTTTCACAGTTGCTAAATATAGAAGATGCATATTATGTTTATGTACTTTCTGTATAAAGTGAATATATTTTAAAAAATAAAAACAGGTTTATAAATATTTTATATACATGGTGTTTTAATTATTTTTATCACAGACTTGGTTTTGTAATGTGGTATGTGATATGATTTAGTATATTTATCCTTTGAGACTTATGATTGCTTTTCTCTTCATTGAAAAGAGTGAAGTCATGGGGAATAGAAGAAAAAGATATATTCTTTATGTAAGTCTAATTTTTTGCTTCATTCATTCATTTACCCATACATGGCCTGGCCAAAGCTGAAAAATTGTCTTTTCAGTATACCAGTAGTCATTAGTTTGTGTTCTTATGCCTAAGATTTCTCATGAGCAAAAGAAAGGAAGGAAAAAAAAAAAAGAGATTAAAAAGGTGCTACAATAGTTATACAACCCCAAAAGGAAATAATTGAAGTTTAATATATATTAGGTTGAACCATAAGAAATTGCTGATATTCAACAGTTTTTGATCTATTAAAAAAAAGCATTTTATATAGTTGAACTTAATGGTTTTGCTCTTCCTTGTTTGCCTTCAGTTTTATGATATGCTTCTGTTAATTCTAGACATACTCCCCAGGAAACAGTGTGAGTCACCTTTGGTTGCAAATATCAAGTGCTGGATAGAAATTATTTATGTTTTATATCAAGTCATTTTAATTTATAGAATTTCAAATGATGCATAGTATTTGAAGATGTGTGGTGTAGTAGATGCTGTCGGTGCATATGTATTGGGTTTTATTATTTACTACTTGAATGAAGGAAGCCTTTTTCTACCTTGCACAGTATTTGCATCTCTGCCTAAGGACTTTCTTTGAAGTCAAGGAAGCTCTCTGCAGGGCAGCCTTGGAGTATTCCTCAACCAGTTACTGACAAGTTGGTATAGGACTACCCCAGCTCTCTTTTCTCTTGGGTGGGTAATTATGAGCAGATTAATCTTCCTAGAGTTTTCTCTTGAGATTAAGCTCCAGTTGCTCATAGGGATAGCAGGCTTGATGTTCATCTTGAATATCCCCCTGAATTTTCTCACTTCTTTGATGGGATTTCTGAACTTTGCAAATTAAATATTTGAATTTGAATCCTTTTCTCAGCAACTTGGGGAGGCCCAGTAAATGTTATATTAAGAGAAAAAGTGAATTATGAAACTGTGTACTATATGTTGGCAATTTTGAAAGAAACATTGAAAGCCATACTGAAAATGTTAATGGGGGTTTTCATTGTGGTTAGTTTTTGTTTCTGGGTATTGTGATTGAAGGTAATCAAAAACATTCTTCTCTGTGCATTTCTAATTGTAGACTCAATTCTATAGTAAATATGTGTCTTTTGTAATATGATGGAAAGAGAAGTAAATACTAAATAAAATAGTAATTTGGAATACAGATTATGATCAGGGTAGAGTGTGAGGGAAGGCTATAGTATCACAGATAGGGATGGATGTGGAATGTTATTGAGAAGGCAAGAAGATAATAAGGACAAGAGCTAAGTTAGAAAGGTAGCATCTATAAAGTGACATACACTTTAATATAATTCCCCTGAAACTAATTTTTATTTCAGCATTCCCCTCCTATTACCTTCTTTCCAATTCTTATTCTCAGTTTAAGATCTTACTTTATATTTCATTGAGAAAAATGCAAATAAATAGAAAACTCCCACTTCTCTCACCATAACATTGACTGCCCTCACTGAAATTTGTAACTTTATGATATATTTTCTTTCTTATTACTATGAATGCTTTGTCTATGCTTTTAACTACATCCAGCCCACCTTCTACATGCCATCCTTTAAAAAAATCAATTAATTAATTAATTCTAATCAGGTATATATGACAGCAGAATGCATTTTGATTCATTGTACGCAATTGCAGCACAACTTTTCATTTCTCTGATTGTACACAATGTAGTGACATACCATATGGGCAGTTATACATGTGCCTAGGGTAATGATGTCCATCTCATTCTACCATATTTCCTGCCCCCATGCCTCCCCTCCTCTCCCTCCTCTTTGTCCAATCAAAATTCCTCCATTTTTCCCATCCCCTGCTCCCTTGTGGATCAGCATCCACTTATCAGAGAGAACATTTGGCCTTTGGCTTTTTGGGAAAAAAAAGTTTAAAGCAAAGTAAACTGATTGGCTTACTTCGCTTAGCATGGTATTCTCCAACTCCATTTATATACCTGCAAATGCCATAATTTTATTCTCTTTTAGTGCTGAATAGTATTCCATTGTGTATGTGTACTAAAGTTTCTTTATCCATTCATCTATTGAAGGGCATCTAAGTTGGTTCCTCAGTTTAGCTACTGTGAATTGAGCTGCTATAAACATTGATGTGGCTGTGTTATTATAGTATGTTGATTTTAAGTCCTTTGGATATAGACCAAGGAGTGGGATAGCTGGGTCAAATGGTGGTTCCATTCCAAGTTTTCTAAGAAATCTCCATACTGCTTTCTAGATTGGTTGCACCAATTTGCAGTCCCACCAGCAGTGTATGAGTGTGCCTTTCCCCCCCACATCCTCACCAACACTTGCTGTTATTTGTATTCTTGATAACTGCCATTCTGACTGGCATGAGATGAAATCTTAGAGTAGTTTTGATTTGCATTTCTCTAATTATTAGAGATTTTGAACATTTTTTTCATATATTTGTTGACTGATTGTATACCTTTTTCTGAGAAGTGTCTGTTTAGCTCCTTAGCCCATTTATTGATTTGGTTATTTGTTTTTTTTGCTGTTAAGTTTTTTTGAGATCTTTATTATATCTTGGAGATTAGTGCTCTATCTGACATGCATGTGACGAAAATTTGCTCCCAAAATGTAGGCTCTCCCTTCACCTCATTGTTTCTTTTGAGAAGAAGCTTTTTAGTTTGAGTCCATCACGTTTATCAATTCTTGATTTTATTTCTTACACTAAAACTAATTTTTTAAAATGTTTGTGGCATATTATGATCTTAGACTAATAGACATAAATTTTTTAAAAGTATGGAATGACTATTATTTATGTCTCCTTTCTTACCATCATTCTTTTAAACATGTAATTCATATCTAATAAGCACAATCCTAAACTGATCAAAAGAATACAGTTTAGTATATGTCTTTTTCTTTCTTTTTTTTTTAGTTTGGTAGCAAGGTTACCTAATGTGATCTGCTTTCCTTAGCAATATTGGCAGAATGATGTTGAGAAGTTGGCAGCTAATTTGTAAATACTTTAAATATGAACAGCAATTTAAAAAATCATCCTAACATAACTGTGACTTGTTTTATGCTTATTAACTTCCAAGTAAATATTGCAATCAGATTGGTATAGATGGATTGATTGATTTTGTGTTTTTTTCTTTATATCTTCATCTTGCATTGTTATATGTAGATTAATATTATTGTTTCTCAAGTTTTACTGAGTTTAATTGAGTTGATGGGCCCTAATTCATTTGACTGTTTTTCTGGTATTTGGTGTTAATAGATTGTGCCCACAGCTATTGCAGTAACCTTTCATCATGATCATTTTTGCTTCTTTTGGATTTATTTACTAGTATCATTATTGGGTGTTTATGCTGGTATTTGCTATTGTTAATTTCTGTATTGTATTTTCAAAAAGGTTTACAAATTTACATGTCAAATAATAATTGGTTGATTGATGCCTTCATTTATTCAACAAATGTTAAGTTCATGCTTTGTGCCAGTTACTGTTCCTGGTGTTGAAGGAGTCTATCATTTTCTCTTGACTCAAGCCTGGTACATAAATTTCTGTTTAAGGATTTTTTTTGTGTGTGTGTGTGTGTGTGTGTGCTTGCTGTATATAGCTATTCTGTGATTTGATTAGTGTAGTTCTAGTTTAATTTTAAAGGATTGTGGAATTTGGTAATATTTCAGCTGTTGGATTTTATTAAAACAAAAAGCCTTTGTTTTAATAAATACACTCTTGTCTATAATAGAAGTTGCTAACATGTTCAGTATTTCATTTTAACAATTAAAGACTTCAGTTGGAATTATTTATTTACAATATGTAAAAGGAGTCAGTATGTTAAATTCCTTAGCAATTTAATAAAATCTACAACAGTTTAATATACTGGTTGGTTTTCCTAGGCTGTGACAAAATAGATTAATGTTTGTAAAGCAGGACCCTGATTTCTGTAGAATGTTTTAAACAAGTAAGCCAGTAGAATTGTGCTGTGATTTGCAACATAGAGGATGCTTTGTCCAGTTTATCACACACTTTATTTCTTAATAGCTGTTTATCAGAAAGGCCCAGGAGGCATACTTAAAATAGTACTCTGTCTATAAAGAAACTAATTCTCTGTGTGGACGCACAGAGTGAGTGGAGGGAGAATGTTATATTAATACTTTAAAGAAAGGTCATTTAATTTGTTGATCTTTTTTTATAGAATAACTTCTGATTTTGAAGTTATTAGATCTTCCTCTATAAGAATGGTTATATGAAAAAAATTGAAAAAAATTATATAATTGGGATTAGATCGCTTCTTTACAGGAAAAGTTAGAATTTATATATCAGGTTTTAGAAGATTTGAAAAAACTTTATTTTCTTTCTTTATTTATATGTGGTGTTGAAAATTGAACCCAGTACCTCACTCATGCCAAGGAAAGCACTCTACCACTGAGCCACAACCTCAGCTCTAGAAGATATTTTTAATCTGTATTATTAGTTTGAAAATTTACTATGAACAAGTACAAATTTAAAAATTAAATGTATTTTTTGACCATTTTTTAAGCTGAGGAAGTTATGGAAAATTTTAATAATAGTCGAGAAAAAGTCTTTAAAATCTATTTAATATGTATGGCTGGACAAAAAAGTGTGTAGAAGGATGGAGGAGCTGAAAGTATAATATTTAAAAGCATAGACTCTGAAAACCAATGTTTTGGCTTGGATCCTGGTTCTACCACCTGCCAACTTTGTGATCTTAAATTACTCAGCTCTGTGCCTGAGAGTACTTATCTGGAGAATGTGGTGCTAATGGTTTTAACTCACAGGGTTACTATGAAAATTAAATAAGTGACTACACATATTAAGTAGCTCAATAAATGTCAGTTGGCATTGCTTAATCATAATGAAATATTAATAATTTATTAATATTAAACTACTTTTAGTATTATTTCCACCAAAATATTTGTAGTGGCTAATCTGTAAATATGTAGTTTAGGCTGATATTTACTTTATTTGTACTTGTAAAATACTTCTTAGTATTTTTAAAAACTTTTTACCATAAACCTGAATAATTTTGACATTCAAAGAAGAATAAAGCCATTTTTGTATGGAGAAAAATTCAAAAGCATTTCTTGGTTTTACTGCCTATGAAAACTAAAAATTGCAAGAAAACTTATATCTCTGTTGCAGTTAAAGACCATAACTAACATTTGAAGTTGTGGAATTATTGTATACAAATAACACAATAAGGAAGATTTCTTAACAGTTTTTAAAATTATTCAGTTACATTTATGATATTCAATATTCTGTTATTCTTGATTGACTAGATAGCTCTACATAAACTTTGGTGACACATTCTAATAGAATTTTAGAACAAGGAGCATCTCAGCTATCAAAATTACAGATTTATTTTGTTTTTAGCTTTTTAAAAAACTAGCTCTGCTAAGTGGTAACATTTAGCTTTATAAGATTATAAATATAGAAGAAACATTCTTATTAGTATAGCATTTCTAACATTTTAAAATAAGAAGCTTTCCTAGTTTCTAATATATAATATGCTCACTGGAGTATATTGTAGTGGGAAATGTTAAAAAGGAATCTGCATTACCCTTCCTCCAAGTCTTCAGAATAGCAGATGGAGAGGGAGATGCTTCTTTGTACTGTATACCATCTGGAGATCTTGATATTCTGCTTTGAACATGAAGATGAAGACTGACCTGAACTTCAAACTAATCTCCCCATTGAGATGAAACAAGGGAAGTATTCCTATCCATGTGAGACCTTGTTTAGTTGATGGTTTATAAAATAGGAGTAAGAAAAATCAAAACATATCTTTTTATAATATTTTTCTTTCTTTCTTTTTTAAAGGTCCTGGAATCTTAGCTGCTACAAGTAGGACTGAATTGGGAGTTATGGAACCATCCTCTCCAAGCCCTAGCCCTGTGAAAAAAGGCAGTTCAATTAATTGGTCTTTACCAGATAAAATAAAATCTCCACGAACTGTGAGGAAACTTTCCATGAAAATGAAAAGATTGCCAGAATTTAGCCGAAAGCTAGGTGTTAAGGGAACCCTGAATTATGTAAACAGTCCAGATAATTCTCCTTCCTTGTCTAAATATAACTGTCGAGAAATTAATCATACTGTTATTTTACCTTCTGGAAACACTACCACAGCTGCCAAGAGGAATGTCATAAGCCGGTACCATCTTGATACCACTGTATCTTCTCAGCACAGCTACCAGAAGAAAACCTCCATGAGTTTGAAGTATTCCTGCAAAGGTGGTTACCTCAGTGATGGAGACTCACCTGAACTTATAACAAAATCTAGCAAACATGGATCTGAAAGCAAATTTGGAAAAGGAAAAGAAATAATTCCAAACAGTTGTAGTAAAAATGAAATAGACATAGATGCTTTTAGACATTATAACTTTTCTGATCAACCCAAGTGTTCACAGTACATATCTGGGCTCATGAGTGTGCATTTCTATGGTGCTGAGGATTTAAAACCACCACGGATAGATTCAAAAGATGTCTTTTGTGCAATTCAGGTAGATTCAGTAAACAAAGCAAGAACAGCTTTGCTCACATGTCGAACCACATTTTTAGACATGGATCACACTTTCAATATAGAAATTGAAAATGCACAACATTTAAAACTAGTAGTATTTAGTTGGGAACCCACTCCAAGAAAGAATAGAGTATGCTGTCATGGAACTGTTGTTCTTCCCACCTTATTCAGAGTAACAAAGACACATCAATTGGCTGTCAAACTTGAACCTAGAGGTCTTATCTATGTGAAAATGACTCTTATGGAACAGTGGGAAAATTCTCTTCATGGACTAGATAAAAATCGAGAATCGGTAATATTTGGTGTTGACATTCAAAAAGTTGTAGAAAAAGAAAATGTAGGATTGATGGTGCCACTCCTGATACAGAAATGTATTATGGAAATTGAAAAGAGAGGCTGTCAGGTATATTTCACTGCATTTTTCTACTATCTCCTTTATTGATTGATGAATTGATTGTCTAATTTTGAGTCTTGGGGGAAGGAATTTAGGTAAGGTAAAAAAATAGTTTAGACATTTTCCTATTTCTGTTGTTTATTTTATTACATCACTGTTTAGAGTATAATTCATTACCTTAACCTATGTTATCAGTGATTTCAGAGCTTACTAGATCAGAGCTTATGTTGTGTTACGGAACTACATGGGTTTTATAACTAGGCATCAAGATTGCTTTGTAAGTGCAATGCTAGGAAAAGCTAAAGCTGATAACATGGTTTGACAGTTTATGACAGAAAGTTCTAATACTGAATCCTATAAACTTGTTCACTCCTCACATTAACTTTATCCACTTTTTCCCTACTCTTAATAGTCCCGTTCTTAGAAAGTCATATAGAATGTAGGATGAGGAGAGTTCTTACTTATAAGAACACCTCTCATTTCCTTTTAAATAATAAAGGAAAGGCAACCTATTAAAAGAAAGAAACAAAACCCTGGCATTATTTGCAACAAGGTATGTAACAATCTTAGCCAGTTAATATACCTTGTCTTTCTTTATGTTCATTTATAGGTATGGAGTATGACAATGAAAAACAGTATATGACTGAGGATATTATTGAGATATAAAAAGTATTTATATTAATTTTTGACACATAAATCTTGTGATATAATAAGAATCATAATGTTCTGAGATAATTCTGCTTTAGTCACCCAAATTTACATTGACTCAAAAGACAATAAGCGTAAATATCATGAAATCTGAAATATTATGTCTTCATTTAAAACATCTCACCTTGAACTTAATGTGGAAACTATACATTTGTGGAGTATTGTCTTAAGATCCAGAGGACCTGGATTCCGGTTTCTCTACTGTTATTACTTAACTGTGTGATGTTGGGCAAATCACTTAATCCTTATGGTTCTTATTTGCTTATATTTATAAAAATGGATCCAGTCATTTCTAATGATAAGAGGGAGGTCATCTAAATTTTATACATAATTCTGTCTCTAGTATGTGTTGTTGATGTGAGAGTGAGGACTTGACTTTACAGTCCAGTTTTTTTTCTCAATTACTTTTCTTTCTTAAGCTTCTCTTTTTTTCCTCCATTCCCCCCCACCCTGTTAGTATGCAGAAAGTTCAGAGATGGGGCAGACTTTAAAGCTAGATTAAGCAGAAAATTTTACAATTGAATATTATAATAAGTAACTCAAGTGGATTGTATTTTACAGTTTATTTTTTGAGATATAAAGAGCAGGTATGTAAAGACTGTTAATTACTTTTTTGAGCACTAAGAAAACATTTCTAGCAATGCTTTTTATTTCTTTACTGAAAGATTCTAAAAAGGTTTATTTTAAAGATTTTCTGCAAACTAAAATGTTTTACAGTTGGGCATTTGAAACTATACTTAAAATTTTTTTTTTTAATTGTAGATGAACACAATATCTTTATTTATTTATTATTATGTGGTGCTGAGGATCGAATCCAGGGCCTCACATGTGCGAGGCAAGTGCTCTACCATTGAGCTACAGTCCCAGCCCCTTGAAACTGTATTTTTTAAAAACATTTTTTGATTTCTCTTCCTTGCTGCTTTTCCACCTATGTGTGCATGCTCGCTTGCGTGCATGCGCACATACAAGTAGGCTTGTTCTACATTTTACAGGCTACCATGTTTCTTAAAGTTTATTTACCTTTTTGTCAGTTATTATTCTTGTTTTTTCACTGTGAAAATAAAGTTTTTATATTCATATAAAAATAGTTTGCGGCGTGGGCTTTTACATCATCTAAATACTTTGAATGCAGCTATATTCTGTCTTCTGATTCCAGTGGGAAAAATTACTGATACTTATGGCTCATCCAGTATAGATTCTGGCTCTGATAGAGAAATCGAGCATGTATACTTCATGAATTTGATTCAAGAAGTCAGCATTCTAAATTTAGGAATATATCCTAAAATGCCCTATCCTTGAAATACCTATATTCGATCTTAATTTTTTTATTCATCTATTTAAAGGCTATGTTGTAGTTCAGTTTTGGGAGGTAAAATGTTATGTTAATTTGTTGTCTACTGTTTAAGTAGTACTTCCTTAAATTTGCTCTAGGTTCATTTCCTTCTCAAGTTCAAGGAGGCACATCCTTATTATAGGATTTTATGACACTTAAATGTGCCTATACCACAAGGGCTATAATCAAGTTAGTTTCTTCTATTGTGGAAGGATTTTCTTTGAGCCTATTTAATAGCCTATCTACATTTTTACCTTGTCTTTCTTGAGATGATGCAACTAGCCTAAGAAATGCTATTCTCAACATAAATGCATCAGGAATATGGTTAAGAGGAGAAACTTCAATATTTTTCCTAGTCCATGTTTCTTAGTTTCCCATATGTTGATCCTTTTGAATGTAACAACACTTTGCATTACTGTCTTGTACAAATAGTTTTAGTTTTTTTTACTGTCTTTCAGTTAATACTTAGAGCTTATCATTTCAAACATTTTGGACAACATTTCCCTGCATCCATTATTGATACTTTCCCACATTAAAACCCATCTTCTCTGTTATAGTCTGTCAGGGTTTTTTTTTTTTTTTTTTTTCTTTTGTCTTGCTTTTATTAGTGGTATCAGTTTTTCCATGACTTAAGAGGTTAAGTCACAAGTAAACCCAGAAATTTAATTTGAGTATACCTTCTTGTAGATCATTTATAACATTTTATAGTGATTCCTAGTTCAAATTCTTGAGGCTTTGCTTTATTTCTGTCTTAAAATAATTTCTTTCTCTATAACTCTTCCTTCAATCCAAGATGACTGAGATTTCTAAATAGTCTTTGACGTGGAAGTATAGGTGACAACCACTTATTTTCCTTAATATTCTTGAAGTTTATTCTTTCAAAGAACTCTTATAGCAGTTAGGCTGGTTTTTTCCTTATAGCAACCATTCTGGTTTCTTCTCAGTGAATTTATAGTGAACTTCTTAAGACTTAGTATTTCAGAATCTGTATGAACTGTTTTTTAAAAACAAATCTTTCATTGTAGGTTATTGGATTGAATAGTACTTATGCAACTTACATAAATTTTAAACTAGAGGTTTTATTTTATCTTTACTGTATTGATTAAATTTCTTCTGTTACGTTATAATCAATTTCATAAGTAAAATTCCCCCTAATTTGGCTTTTATTTCTTCCTGAAAATCTTTTTGTTTTTTTTCCTTAGAAAACTTTATACAAATAGCATACTGGCTTCTCGTTTGAACTATATAATTATTTTATGAATAAGGAAACTGAGTCTTAAAGAGATTAAATAACCTGCCCAAGTTTACCAGTAAAGAGTGACAGGAGAGCTTTACAACTCTAAAACCATTATTTAATTGTGGTATTGCATTATATCAGTCTAGGGCAAAAGATGTGAAATGGTACATGCTTGGTATGGAGATACTGGTTGGACAGTATGAAGAGAAGAGATTGCACCTCTTTCTTAAGATTACTGAGAATGCAGAAATCATACTATATTGTTTGAAATGAAAAAATAGGATTTTTTTAAAACTAAACAACATTGTCCATGTTGAGACTTCAATAGCTGTCTTGGAGGTATTATAATTACATGCGATCAGAACAAATGTGATTGCTAAGTTTATGTGATTTATATTGTACTATTATATTGTTTCTTTATTAAATACAACATAATGTGGCCATAATTTTATTTCTAGGTAGTAGGCCTGTATCGATTATGTGGTTCAGCAGCAGTCAAGAAAGAACTTCGAGAGGCTTTTGAGAGGGATAGCAAAGCTGTTGTTCTATGTGAAAACCAGTACCCAGATATAAATGTAATAACAGGTAATTAATAGATTTTATTGTATGTACCAATTCTGGAAAGACTGTAGAAACGAGAATTGAAACACTATTGTAGCCTAAATTTAATGAGCTTTTTTGGGGTTTGTTTGTTTTTTAAGTCTTAGTTTCCTTCCTTCATAAACACTACTTACTTACTGTGTTATTTTTTTGTGGGGAGATATTAAGATATGGTTCCTGCCCTTAAATAGCCAGCAGATGATGAGGGGGGAGTAAGAACTACATTAAATTAGCTGTAGTAGCTAGTAGATATTTACCTTCATAGAGAGATAAATAAAATTCCACAGGAGTTCAGTTTGACTGAAGCGTAGTTGATGTAAAAGGACATTGATTTTCTGGTTTGAAAATTTTAATATATTTGCTAGGCAAAGGGGTCTTTCAAGTAGGGAAGTAGAGTCATTAAGGATTTGTTTTTAGGAATATTAATCTGGCAAGTCTGTATGTAATTGAAAATGAAGAGACCAGAAGAAGGAAAATCAGGAATTTTTATCAGTAGTTCCAGCAATGAAGTAATGAGGGATTGCAGCAGTAGAAATAGAAAAGCATAGAATTGAAAGGATGTGTTACAAGAGAGGGCCCCAGAAAAAAAGGATTTTGAAACCTGGTTGATTTGGTAACTTAACCATTATAGCAGAAAAAAGAGCTGTAAGAAGATCTGTGTTTGGTGGGGAAATATTGAGAATGATTATGAGTTTGGTTTTGGATATATTATATTTGAAGTAGTAGTGAGATCTAAAATGGATATATTAAGTGAAGTTGAAAGTGTTCATTTGCCACTAAAGAAAGGATGTAGTAGAATTTGAGTTGTCCAGTCAAGTGGTCAGTATAACCACCAAGTAGCATTGAGAAGAATATACTTCCAGTACCTGTGAAAAGGGAAAACAAGCCAAGATACCCTTTCCTTCCTTCCTTCCTTCCTTCCTTCCTTCCTTCCTTCTTCCTTCCTTTCTTTCTTTCTAAAAATGTTTTGTTTAGTTTATAAATGAACACAATACCTTTATTTTATTTATTTATTTTTATATGGTGCTGAGGATTGAACCCAGTGCCTCACATATGCAAGGCAAGTGCTCTACCGCTGAGCCCCAGTCCCAGCCCCCCTTTTCTTTCTTATAAATTTCTTAGGAATTTTAAGAAATCAGAAATAATGATTACTTATTTTTTGTAAAGGAAGAGGCTTATCACTACAAAAATGAGATAATTTAAAAAATACATATGAAATGTTCTTACCTTGTTAATATGTAATTAACAAAACAAGTAAAATATCCACTTTATGAATTCATTAGAGAAAATTTTTATAAATACCAATTTTTAGGAGAGTGGATTCTATAAATAAAAGTGGATTTTTGGAGAGTGCTCAGTTGTAGAGCCCTTACTTAACATATATAAGGTTGTGGGTTTGATCCCTATCACTGAAAAAAAGAAAGTGGATTTTTGTTTTGGTGAAGACTTGTTGTAAAAATGGAAATTATGTTAAGCATGTATGATTCAAAAGTTGAAATAGAGTGCTTTTAGTTAATGGGTAAGAAGGGATTTTAGTTTTGCAGCATATGCAGAAAATATGAATGATAATAGGTCAGTGAATATTGGGATTAAAATAGTCTTTCCTAAAATTGAGAGTTTCTAATTTCATGAATTGGATGTTTCTTGGTGGTAAGACCATTTTCAAAAGAATTTAGAACTATTTTCTTTCTTCATAGAGTCAATAAATGATTTAAGATTTGTTTGAGGAATATTAGAATTCTAATAGATTAATCATTGTGGCTCAAAACAAAGTGTGTTGTTGATTTGGGAAACTGGCTAGTAGTAATGTTGCCTCAAATGTTTGTTCCATATGAATTCACACTTCTGAGTAAACTTTAGAATATAGTTAATAAGTAAGTCTAGAAAATAAGAAATTAATGAAGTAAGTGATGGAGTTGTTCACAGTTTAATGCATTTTTAGAGGTTGGTTTGTCTGGAGCACAGAATGAAATGCTCCAGACAAACCAGGGGTTTTTTGGTTTTGTTTTTTTTTAAAGCAAATACAAAATTTAAGATATGAAGTCCTCTTCATTCCCTGAGGACTTTGATATCTTAGCAAATGGTTATATGTTCATTTCAAGTCCTGCCATCATCCTAAGTGACTTTAACATACAAATGATGGTTCAGAACCCTAGGTTCTTTGTCATCAACTATGACCTTTATATCAGCTCTACTTTATGATCTACTCCTGATATCATGGTTCTTGTCATCTAGGATTTGCCTCTGAAATTTGAATTCATTTCATTCTAGAGCTAAATTTCCTATTCTCAAGTTTCCTTACTCAGTTATATTCCTTCCCATTTTTCACTTCATTAGTTATCCTTTAATATTTTTGCTCAGTCAGTTCTCTTCTCGTTTCCCACTCTGGTCATATTAGATTTCATGGTTCATCATTTTAGCAACTTTCATACAAATGTCCTAAATGCTGTTACCTCATCATTGTTCTTTGCTCCACCCATCTGACAAAACCTCTGATCTGCAATGTCATTTATGAGTCTTATTTAACATCTTTATTGAGGTATAATTTCCATATGATAAAAAGCATATAATAGGATGTTTTCACATATGTTCATATTTCATAGAACCATAACCACAGCAGATGTAATGAATATAAGCGCTGTCTCCAAAAGATCTCTCATATTTCTGTGTAATTCCTCCTGCCTGTGCCTCTCGCCTCTTTATTCCCTGTCCTGAGGCAACCATTGATCTTTTTTGCTGTTGTTATAATTCATTTTTTAGAATTTATGTAATGGAGTTACACAGAATGAACTCATGTAGTGTTTTATTTTTTGCAGAGGTGGGGAATTTGGCCTCTTTTATTAGCCAAACTATTTTGAGATTCATCCATGTTATTGCAAGTATTCATGGTCCGTTTCCTTTTTTTTTTGAGAACTCAGGTTTATGACGCTGGCAGACCCAGAAAAGCTATCACTCTGAAATTCTGGGCCTTGAGTTGAGATTACATGGGTCTTTATAGGAAATTTACAACATTGGTGGGTTTGAATTCTTGACCCACATGATCACAGACCATGCACAGGAATTCTTATGATAAGCAGCTCACAGATGCAGAACAAAGGCAGTGAGACACCTGCAAATGATATCAGAAAGTGGACTTCATCATAGTCAGCAGTTTCTCAAGATAACTGTAAGCTTGCATCCCTAAGAGCTATATATATAAAACCTCCATATCTATAAGGTTATAGTTCAGACATCAGTTTATTGGCATAGTAACCTATAATTCATACTAACAATTAACTGATGCAGCTACATTTCTACAGAGTACAGAAAGTTACAATGCGCCACTTTCTCCTACATGTAAAAATAGCATTTCACATCCAAGAATGCACAGAGTCCTCCCTTTTCAGTGGTCAGCAGGTTTAAACCTGTTTTGTAGGACTACCTCTTCAAGGGAATCTCCTTGGTCTTATAAGGTCTCAAGTGTTCCTGGAATTCACCCCATGTTATCCATAAACTGTGTTGACAGTTGGTTATAGTGGGCCTCAGAAAATGCTATTTCCCTAACTCTTGCTCCTTTCCTGGCTGTAATTCCTATGACAACTAATAGGGGAATAATTTATATAGCTCTTTTGATTCTACCATGAGCTTCTACTGATATTTAGAGAGGTTGAACCCCAGGGACAACATCTGCCTGGGAAATAACATAGGTTAGCGTACAAGTTCCTGCCCAACCACTGGGAAGGCATTGGTAAGGCATGTTTTTCACACACAAAGAAAATGCCTGCCTGAGGTCCACACCACTAGCTGGTTTGTAATGAGGGTCCATTTCCTTTTTATTGCCAAATAGTATTCCATTGTATGGATATACTGTCACTGGTGTATCTATTCATCTATTGACAGACATTTGGGTTTTTTCAAGTTTGGGGCTATTATAAATAAAGCTGCTTTGAACATTCATTTATAAGTTGTTGAGTGGGCATATGCTTTTATTTCTTCCTTCATTTCTCTTTCTTTTTTCCTCCCTTCCTTCCTTTCTTTTTTCTTTCCCTCCCTCCCTCCCTCCCTTCTTTCCTTTCTATAGGTGATTGAATCCAGGGCCCCACTGAACTATACCCCCAATCCTATTCAGTTCTTTTGGGTAAATATCTCTTTTATGCCTAAATCACATTATCTTGATTATTGCATTAAATTTATACATCAATATGAGAAAAATTAACATGTTAACAATATTGAATTGAGATCTTAGAACATGATAAATCTATGTTGTGTTTAATTTGTCAGCAATATTTTTAAATTGACAATGTGTAATTCTTACATATTTTATCAGATTTATTCCTAAATACTGGCATGCCATCTTCTTATTAGCCACTTGCATATTTTCTTCAGAGAAATTATTCAGAACCTTTGTCCATGTTTTAAATCAGATTATTTGTAAGAGTTCTTTATGTACAAGTCTCTAATCTGATATATAATGTGCCATTCCCCCCCACTTATTCTCTTGATGATATCCTTTGATTTTGATGATTCTAGTATATTTTTCACTTGCAATTTTGTTGTAATATCTAAAGCTTTGCTTAACCCAAGATCATAAAGATTTATAATGTTTTCTTCTGAGCATTTCATAGTTTTAGTTCTTGTATTTAGGTCTGTTATCCACTTATAATTAATTTTTGTACATTATGTAAGGAAGAGGCTCCAACTTTATGAATCTCTTATAAGTGGACTTTCACTTGTCCTGGCACCTCTTTTGAAAGAGTATTCTATCCTTATTGAATTGTCTTTCACCTTTTCAAGAGTCAATTGACTACAAATGTGAGGGCTTTTTTCTGGGTTCTTAATACTAGTTCATTGCTGTATATATTCATCCTGATACCAGTACCACTGTTTTGATTACTGAAGCTTTGTAGTGCTTTGTAGTAAGTTTTAAAACTCCCTGTTCTTCCTCTTTAGGATTTTTAGGCTGTTCTGGGTCTCTTTGAATTTACATATGAATTTTAGGGTTAGTT